TCAGGAGAATGGTACGACTGGCCATAGCCCCAGAGCCCAAAAGAACGTCTACGGAAGAGCCTGATGTAGAGATGAAGGATGGCGAAGCCGACCCTGCGAGTACCACTCCAGGAGTCGAGGAGCCTGAACCACCTACGCCTGAGCTTGATCCGCAAGACTACAAGGATGGGGAAGGTCGTTCAGTATCCCCGACGAAAACATGGTCGCACTACCCGACATCGAATCCAGATACTGAAGAACGGAAAAGAGCTGCCAAGCGCAGTGGGCAAGGTACAGCAACCGCTTCCAACTGGAAAACCGCCTATGACAACCTCAGAAGGGTCAGAGCACGCGCAGTGAGCCAAAAGGTGTGCTATTGTTGTGGTTCAAACCAACATCACCTGGCTATTTGTCCCAACACTGAGAAGAAGGACGAGTTGATGAACTCATTCTCTCACATGGAGGACACTATGCGCAAGTGCTTCACCGAGGACGACAAGGCAATCATCCGACGTGATGTTGAAAGCCGAAAGAGGAAAGCAAAGTCATCCAAAGACGTCGAAGACGAGGACTACATGGATGTGGATGATGAAGATATTGAACTTCCCGAAGAAGAACCGGAACTAGGAGGTAAGGTACCACCTCACTCTCCGAGAGCCAAAGGTAGACCACACTCGTCAGACTCTGCAAAAGAGGAATACGCGAAAGCGGTCGAGGCAACCAAGAAGGCCTTTGGGAACGCCAGTTTCGTCACCAGATTCAAAGAGCCCGTCGACCTCTTTGACATTGCCGATGACAAAGAAGGAGGAGAGTACAGGGTCGCAAATCACAGGGTTGATAGATCAGGTCCTAATGGAAAGTGGGAACTTGATGCACTTATTCAGGAGGCTGCAGCACTCGGAATAAAGATGCCCAAAGTGAAGGACCTTGCTCCTGACCCACAACAAGTTCAAAAGGTTGGATATCGGCAGATTGAGGTGACTTGCGATAGAGGAAGCATCGAGATAATTCCACAGTATGGAGTTACATTCTATGTGGAGTACTGGAATGGACCGAAGAGAGATGCAACTTTCACGGATCCACCAAAGATGAACCCAGCAACTCGCATCGACAAGTTCAGCGAGGAGAGTCAGCGGGTCAACGAGGTTAGCCATAGACTCAATAGACTACTCAGGCATGGAGTGGGAAAGCATAATGGGATTCAATCGCACCGCGGTCGAAAACCTCATGTGTCCCCGAAGTGCAATGAGGGTGGATGGGTGAACATCGATGAGATCCTGGAATATGACCATGTCTTCAACGATGGTGTCGATATCAGTACTATCTCGGGTGATCGGCATCGTCAAGATGTCAAGACAGAGCGATACCAGTATTTATGCAAGGCGATGTGGCATGCAAAGAAGTTGCAGAACAGAGTACGCTATCAGATTGCCGCCATTCGTATCTCAAGGGAGGATGTCTCACTCGAAGAGGAAAGGCAATACTGGGCAAACCTCATGTATTACAGCACAGATGCACCGTCATTTCTGAAGCATGAACGTTGGATCGTTCCTTGTGCAATTCGAGCTGTTGCCTCTCACAATTCTGGAAGAGAGACTGTTCTTGAAGAGGATGTGTCAATATATCCTGTGTGGACTTCACATCTCATTCCAGAGAATGTGGCAATGCAGCTTGGAGGAAGCTTTCACATGACATCGCTTTCCAATATTGAGTCAATCATGAAACTAGGAATTGTCCCTGGTGGAACGGAGGGATATAGAGGTAGTGTTTTCTTCAACCACTTTGCGCCGTGGGATGATCGATCATCAAAGATTCTGAGATCAAGATGGCCAAGAGTGGGAATGCCCGTTTGCCTTTATGTTCCAATCATGACTTTGAGGAAGCTTGGGGGAAGAATTTCGGAGAATTCCTACACTGTTGTTTTTAGAGAAGTTCCATGGAGATGTGTATGGGGTGCTTGGTATTGGGACGACTACGTTCAGGCATGGAGGAGACTCCTGCTGGGAAGCACTGGAGAGCAAGTTGTTCTAGCGGCACGTCATGGACTTTGGGTTGCTCAGAAGCATACCATCCTCGAGAGAGCCGACGAAGTCACGAAGTCAGCCTCGGCGACAGATGACAACGTCCAAAAGCTCGTGTCCCTTATCGATGAAGTACAATTCGATGACAATGGAGAGCTGATCGAGGATTCCATCAGTGAGGAAACTTGGGACGAAATCATCTCCAGAACATGTGAAGGGTATCGCAACGTGGATGGCAATATTTTGTGTCCATCATGTATGCATTTGACTTCTTCATCTTTGTCCGTGTGTCTATCTTGTCAAGGCAGGCTACTCTCGTGTGGTATTCGCAACACTGTCATTTCCGATTCACCCGTTGATCTTGTGAGCGACGATGAAGAGGAAAAGAAGGAAGAGAAGGAGCCTGAAGATGATGATCAAGATATCTTGGACCAGGCCACTATGGACGAGATCAGAAAGGCTTGGGAAGAAGACATCGCTCAAACTGAAGCAGCTGACGACGACGAGGACATGGACAATCTAGATCCTTCCAAACCGTCTGATGGTGCAGAAAACTTCAAGAGTGACAATGTCGAGACCCCATCTTTCAATGAGGACGAGATCGACTACGGTCGTGATTCTGATCTAGAAGATGAAGACGAACGAAACGTGATCATCGAGATCCAGAGGAGCACACAACAATATGAGGGGAAGAAACGTCAAGATGGTGAGCCCGAGGGTGAAGACGTCACCGACGACTTACATCCGGAGGCGAATCGACCGACAGATCGTGATGAACCGGGATACTATGCACAGCATGGAGCGACCGAGTTCAATCCCGAAGAAGGAAGAGACAACGAAGATCTCCCCATCTATTGTCGAGTACCGGAACCTCGAATCTATGCGCATCAAGAGAGAGCCTACTGTCAGGACGTCTCCATGAATGCATCGGGTTTGATGGATAGGTATGTGGTCAAATGTGTGCTGAACATGATCTCCCTGATGTACAAGAGCTACTATTGCACCAGCCTTACCGACTTCAAAGCAAATTGGAAAAGGAAGCGTCTGGATGTGATAAGCAAGTTCGGTACAGAGGATTTCACTGAAATCGATGACGATGGGAGACCATTGGATCCAACAGATGACATGATGAGAATCTTTGCCAACGAAAACAAGATTACGATTGAGGAGGCCTGGCACCGATTCAGAGGAGAGCAATTCATTTGCAAGATGGCACTCGTGATCCTATCATTTGGTCATACTCCGTACTCCTTCAAGAAGGAATATGGCAACTTCGAATACTCCACCAACTTGACTGACGTCCAGCTTGAGGAGTTGAAAGCGAAGAAAGCCAGCGCAATGACTGAATTGGTACAGAAGTGCATCCATGCGATTTATGGTTGTCGGACATATTCTTACTTTAGAACCGACGTTACATCACCCAACCACAAGGTGATCGATCCTCTGGACATCATGTACTCGAGAATGAAGAGCAAATGGGAGAAGTCTATTCTGCTGATCATTGATCAACATGAGATCAGGTTGCCCCCACACGCTCAGAATGTCGTAGAGTCAATGGCCAGAAATCCCAACATTGGACATACAGAGAGATGGATGAGCGTGGTAGAACAGAAGCATGTTCAAGCTCTTACCGATCGTCTAGGCTTTGGAGATAGGGCCAAGGAGATTCAGGGCAAGAAGAAGCAGGCAGCCAAGGCAACAGCTAAGTCAACATCAACGACTAAGTCTGAAGCGAAAGCAGCATCTTCGTCAAGAGCTGAGGCAAAGCCAGCATCTACACCCAGAACCGAGGCCAAGCCGTCGTCAGCACCAAGTGAGGAGCCAAAACCTTCAACAGCACCTAAGAGTTTCGGGCCCTCATCAGCAGAGGAGAACAAGGCGAAGGCTGCTCCAAAAGCCAGACCACATGATAAATCACCATCCAGTGCTACCGATGTGTTTGAGCAAGCTTTGCAGGAAGATCTTGCCGCCAACGCACATGCAGCAGAAAGTACAACTTCTTCATCATCCCGAGGACATTCCAAAGGAGGAGGCCAATCTGGAACATCTTGGAGGCCGGCGCTAACGCAAGAACGTCGCGAAGTACCTCAACCTTCTGAAAAGGGGAAGGGAAAGAGCAAGTCCGAGGGAAAGTCCAAGAAGGGAGAAGATGATCGGTGGGATGCTCAGGGCAGCTGGGATCATCGTGGATGGAGAGGTTATCGCCAGTGGTGATTTCTTTGAACGACTATGAGGATACCATGCAAACCAGGGAGGAAGTCATTCACCGGATGTCTATCTGACCTGAAACGCAATAAGTGTATCATTGCAAATCATCGGATTGACGATTTGATACCATGAGCATAATGGAAGGCAGACAGTCACCGACTGTCTCTCCGACTTGCCGTTCTGTAAGTGTATCCAAACCAAAACCTACATCTTTTGAGAAGTGTGAAGTCAGTTGCCGATGTGACATCTACGTGGAAGTCACCAGTTCGGATCTACATCAAAGCGATGCTCTTTTGAGTGGATACTGAGCGAGGCCTCGTGACTGTCTCACTTGTTCAATTCGATTTTCATAGGTTCTGAGCCATAGTTGCACACTTTATATGTAAAAGTCCGCTTTAGTCCAGCATGTTTCGTAGTATGAGCCTCATATGAGTCTCGCGGCAAATCATACAATTTCTTTTGTAGCACTTACATCCCTAAATTTTCGTGTGTGATCGGAACATATTGTTGCCGTTCACATGGGGGGTGCGAATGGAAGTGCAGCGACACGTACAGTGCAACTTGTACATATATATGTACCATATGTACTTTGGCTCAAGGATCAAGCGACTAGAAAAGGTGCGGTTTCCGTTCCGACGCTACGCCGCTTATGGATCGTCAGTGATAGCTTCAAACTTCGCTGATTAAGATCCACTCGCACTATATATATATATTATAGAATTATAGGCCAGGAAATTCTGACATATCTTGGCATTTCAAAGGTGCATGTCCTACAGTCCTTGCCCAGACCAGTCCTGACCCAGGACAAAGTGTTTGTGCACTGGAAGAATATTCAGACTGATGACCGCTTTCCTCGCTTAAAGGAAGGTCTGCAGAAGCTCGGCAAAGGAGGGGAACAAGGGGTTTCCGATGGAATCCAGGCAGGCCAGTCAAGTTACCTTGTTTTGGGAGAGTAAATTGTGCGTCCGTTTTGAGGGTTTTACAGGCGCACAAGCACTGACGCTGAAAAACATGATGGGTCATGTCATGCCCTTTTTGACCTTGTGCGAGCCATTTGGACTGACCTGGTGCTATACTGTTGGCGTGGTTTCGCGCTTTTCCACTGCCCTTTGTTTCGCGGGGTTCAGGCACCTATTTGTACCACTCTTTTTTTGTTTCTTCTTCGTCGATCTCCGAGCAGTCCATTCACCTGTGCCATATGAGCACCTATCAAAACCTGTCCTCATGTAGCTGTAGCTATTAAAGGATGCTAATATATGCTAATTATGTGTTTCTTGGTAGCTAGTAGCAAGGACAACGTGGAGAACAATAGGGTCGGGAGCAAACAACAATAGCTAATTTGTTATTTTAATTCTGATACATCCTAGGATGTCTTTTGTTGCCTAAACGGCAGGGATTTGTCAGATTGTTCCATCATGGCAGACGATACCCAAACATCCCAAAACGATACCATTCCGATCCATATTTGGGCATTGTTAAGCCCATAACTTGTTGGGAGTGCTGATTCCCAAAATCAAGGGAAACCTTAAGAGACACACTTTTAACCGACTAAATACCGACATGCACACGACATGTTCATGTTCAAATGTTCTTTACCCTGCCACATGTGAGAGGTTTCGATCGCCACTCATATATGCCCCTCCCGAATGACAAGCAACAATCCCTTGCGGTCATCCGCAGCTCCCCACCTAGGGTGGAGTTTGGATTGTTCTTGCATATGAAGAAGCGTCTTGGCTCACCAGAGGGTCTGCCTGGTTGTGGGCTGCTTGGCCTTAGTCAGGCATAGCGTCCCCGCCAGCGACGTATTGGATGGTGAAGGAAATTCTCCATGACATCCGCATTCGAGAATCGTTGCCTGAATCAGACTTGGGACGGAGACTCAGTGCGATCATTTCCTTGGGGTAACTTCTTTGTCTCTGGGAAAAACACGATGCAAACAGCGGAAACAAGATGCGAAACCATCCCTCAGCCCCAAGCACCCTAGACTGCCTAGACTTACTTATATAGATAGCCTTAGCTGCCGTGTTTTTCTCGTTCTGGACGACTCAGACACAACATGCTTGCAGTGCTTCAGGGGTGCAGATCCCTGCAGTAAAATACCATTATGGCAAGTGGTAATGTAACATTATGCATTTGCCAATGCTTTTATACCTTTGGAGAGCAATTTTGTGGTATTTGTTTTGTTGCGTTAAAGGTTCTTTTAGATATGTGTCGTGTTCCTTTTCTTGCTTGTCATTGCTTCTCTATGATTTCATTTGTTTTTTTTGTGCTTGTCTTGTTTTCCCTTGTTTTGTTTGCTTCTTTGTGGGTGTTCCTGTTTTTTTTTGTGTGTGTGTGTGCGTGTCTTGCTTTTCATTGCTTCCCTGTGGCTTCCCTCTGACTTCTCCTGCTTTTCTGGCATTGCGCTTGTCTTGTGTTGCTCTTTCTGGCTTTTTCACTGCTTTTCTTTACTTTCCTGCTTCTTCTCTTCTCGTGGCCTATTGTTTCCCTGTTGTAAGTATGGCCTAGTCATGCCTAGTCTATGGCCTTTGTTGCTGTCGCTTTGTATTGGTTGCTTTTCAAGGCGTGAGTTTGTATTGCTTTATTCTGGCTTTTCTGGCGTTCTGTTACTATTCAATTCTTATTATTTTCTGCTCTACTGGTTGTTGTGGTTTGTTTCACCTCAAGGGACAGCCCAAGTGCATCGTGTGTGAACAAAACTCTTTTATTGTTTACTCCCTTCTCGATTTTGACGCACGTGTTTCATGTTTGTTCGCCCTGCGGCTGAAGTTTCTATATTTGTTGGCTCTACTCGGGATACGACCTGGGCTTCTGGGGTAGCAGTTTATGCCTTGTGTTCCAGTTAACCATTCTTTTGGCACACAGGCCCTAGACGTCCTGAAAGGATCATCCTGGACAGTTATTTCTTCTACAAACAGCAGCTAGCTTTCCTCCACTGGAGGAACTATAGAGAACAAACCGCACCCGGGTGTTTGGTTTCCATAAACGTCTCACTGCTTCCGCTTGAGAAGTCGCTTGAGACGAGACGGGAGCCCACCCGTTGGGCGACTCTTCCGCTCTTCCGCTGTTTCACCCCGATCGCTCTCGGTTTCACCGGCCTGTCGCCGGGTTCAGGTCCGGCTATCCCAAAAACGTGTCCGTCAAGGCTAAGACCGTGACCCTTCAGGGTGGAGGCAGGTGTGGGAATGCGATGTGAATGGAGGGAAAGGCAGGGGTCTGGTGGATGAATCAAGTAGTGTAACAGTAACTTAACATATAATAGCATGTACATATATATATATACATAATCATATGATATATATATATATGTAACGCACAGTATCTAAATGTCAATTTATATACATATATTTTTTTTTTACATATATAGTTCATATGTATATATATATACATTGCAGCATCATTGCTTGTCTATGTGGTTCATTCACTCCACGCAAGCAACAAGCTGTCAACAGGCATATCCTTGCCCAACCTCCCAATACAATGTGCGGCTTTGAGCATCAATGTCCCCACAAAGGCACCACTTTGTTACTATGTTTAGCAGTTTTAATCAATTCCAGCCATAGCTGCCATAGCCATACAATTATTTTCAAGTAGGGTATGTTGACATGTTTGGGTGCATACTGACGTGTTGAATATCTTCCAAGCCATTTAGAACTCCTTCGGTGCCTGTCAAAGAGAGTCTCACCCCCGCAGGCATGGTGAACATCCAAGATGAGATGGATGCAGAGACCATGACGCCCCATGGCCTGTCGTAGACCATCAATCGCCGTTGACAAGCTCATCAGGGCTTGGAGCTGAAGTCTATGTGAGCCAATGGAGCCCTCGAGAATGATGTCGAATTGTTGATATATAATTTCCGGATTGAGATCTTGGAGTCATGAAATTGCGGATTCAAGGCCTTTCTTCTGACTAGACTTCACTGCAGACTGCAACTAAGGTTTGTGGGCGCTCAAAATCTCCGATACACTGGTACCATCAAGCACCTCGGGATGAAACCCGTATCAAACCCGTCCCAAAACCCAATTGGTCGCGGTCCGCCGCGTCGCCCGAGGTTCTTTGATCAGATGCGTGGCTTCGGCTGGGTCGTGCGGCCCAGACGGAGCCCGGAGGTGGACAGACGCACGGCAGACTGCAAGAACGGCGCTTCCGATGGTTTGGAAGAGGTCGGAAGGCTTTTAGCCCTGTCCACACTCTGCATGTGGAAGCTTGTGGTATGTGGAATTGGGAATGCTTAAATAGGCATACGGAGACGCCATGTTTTGTTGGGTCAGGTTTCGTTGGATGAGCACGCGTCGCGGAGTCCCAATTACGTCTGAATGGTCCAAAGACATGCACCGTCAAGACGTCTCCAGAAGAACGTGCACAAAGTCGCTATGTTCTTCTGGAGATTCCTGCACAAAGAGAAACAAGACATGCACGTCAAGACATGCACCAGGAGTCCAGGAGATTCGGAGATTCGGAGCGACGTTCCCTGGAACAAACCGTCCGCCGTTCACCTGCCTGTGACGCACAGCGTCCTTTGGATCGACTGGGATAGAGTTGGGCCACGAGTGTAGGAGGGCGTAGGGCGTAGGAGGGCGCGGCAAGGTGGTTTAGGATGTAAAACACATGGTTTTGCGATGTTTTGGTTCACTCCGGAGCAGCAAAAGCCCTCAGGCTTTTGGCAGAATAGAGGATGGCAGATGCCCGGCACCATGATATGTCATGTCTGAGGTGATCATAGATGACGGCTTCCAAATGGAAGAGCCTGTGCCCAAAGAGATCAAGGCCAGCGGCGGCCAGTGACGGGAAATCTGCAAATTTGCAGCAAGTGGAAACACGCATCAATCATGGAAAAAATTGGACACCTATCAATCATACAGAAGTGGGAACCATTTGGCGTTTGTGGCAATCCAGTTTCTTTTTGTTGAATTGGCTTCTCACCCTGCTCTTCCTGCTCACAAGTTCGGATGAGACTCTGGGGGGGAGACGGCGTCACTGGACGTCCATGGAGTGGACGGCGTCACTGACTCTCTTTGAGGGAACATGGCATGGCAGGGTGTTCTGTAAGGACATGGCAGTCACACATGGCACTGAACACGTGACAGCCTGTTCAAGGCAGCGTTGGAATTCTTTCTATGTGTGGGTCAGGCTGTTCTATCTCCTTATGGCAGCCTTAGAACAGGAGGGTTGATGTCGCTTGACCTCCCCTTCACATCAGCAATTGCCTTCTGAATATATATCTTGAATTCTGTTGATCACCTTGCATAGTTCACCTCGCCTCGTGTTAATTTCAATCTGAATCTGACATTGGCGCGTTGCATATCATTTTTTGGTATGCATTCAATGGTTCTGGCACAGGTTTCTACGGAGCAATTCTATATGTATACATTTGTCAATTATTTCTGTAGTTGACCACCTCATTGGCAAACAAACAGCAGTACATACTGTATATTGTATATATATATATTACATGTATATATGTATTTACACATATCATACGTATACATACATCTACACATATTATATAATATCAATAATATTTCATACATCTTGGACCTGTGTTTGTCGTGGTATGCGTTTTCATCCCCCAGCAATTTACTAGACGCACCCTTTCTCAAAGTCGAGCCATTTCGGGAAAAAGTGCCCCACATCAAGGACTTAGCAAGTGGGTGTGTCGTTTGAAGGGCAGCAGGTAATAGAACTGGAACATGGTAGATACAGTAGTCCTGGAAGAAAACATTTGCGGATTGATGTCGTATACAATTTATATACAATCCTGCATCTTCCAAGGGTGTCCTTTTTCAGTCCCCATCACCAAAGTAGACTTTTCACCAGAGGGGTGTCTTTTGTTATACCAGTGGATCGAGATGGATTTGATCTGTTTTGTCAGATAAGGGGCTTGTTGATCTCGGCACCAACCCACCACTCCAACAAGGTCAGTCTATGCGGGGTGTTGGCGTGATCAAAGTTTTTCAACCCCATCTAGTTTCAGTACCGCTTTTTTAGCAGTTTAGACAGACTTTTGATGATTCTTTGGGGTGTCAATGGTGTCACTGAAAAGGCTTTCAACCGATCTGGAGAAGTTTGCCATTTTGAGGTTGATTGAAGTTTCATCTATCATGCACGATCTGTCTTGACAAACAGCTATGGTGCAGGAAACATCTATCATGCATGATAAGCCATACTGATCACCAAAGCCAACAAATCTAAGGGGCGGAATTCGGCGTTCGAGGGGCGGAATTCGGCGGCCCAGGGGCGGAATTTGCTGGACACCAGTTTTTTGAGTGTTGAAATGTGATGCAACTGAAAAAAGAATACAAGAGTGTCAGCATGACATGATGACATGATAGGCTCAAAGGAACAACCCACGATGAGGCGCGATGAAACCATTGCAACAAATGCCACAGTTCCTTAACATGGAGCTCATGAAACATTCAACTAAATAACACTGCTGATCTCGGCTTTGGGTGTCAAAACTCTAAACAATGGGTTGGAATTGCCTCGGACTAACATTTCAGACCTGCTAAAGAACAAGAAGGCGGGCAAAGCACACATATTTGTCCACATAAGATAATTTTCTCCCTTGAAGGGGCATGAGCACCTAAACCCGTACAAGCTGCAATTTTTGACTCTAGGCTAAGGGGCCAGAATTTGGTACTACCAGAGGTTCCAGGATCGTATACAGTAGGATTTGAGTTCGTTTTCGAAGCCAATCAGCCACCTCAGATGGGGTGGACAACACCATTTACCAGACTTGAGCTACAGCTACAGTATTTACTTTTTGAACCTGCTGGGTGCCCCTTCTTGGCCCAGCCTGTGCAGCCGCAGGTTCATGGAACTGAGCTGCACACTGGCGGGAAGCCTTTGCGTATGCGCATTGACAAGCTCCTTGCTAGCTGAAGTAGGAGAGGGAGGAAAGCCCAGACGATCCTAGGCAGTTGATGGTGAAAAAGACCTGCAACATGTTCCTGTTCATCAGATGCATGAAACCCATGATCATTGATTGTGATAGTTTGGTCTTTGATTGTGATAGTTTCATTTTTTCTTGTTATGAGTCTTAAACCACATATCTGTAACTTATGGTGGAGTTCCTGAACACCCTGAGTTGCTTCATGATGGTGTTTCTTTGCAGCAATGTAAATTTGAGATGTCAAGCCAAAACAGGGGGGTGGGTGGGTCGTGCTACTTAAAGCCTGACACTAGGCAAATTGGACCAAGTCATCAGTCAGAGAGTTTGGCATATATTTTTTACTGATCTAGGTTGTCTGATCTAGGTTGTAGCAACTTCTTTGTGAGCAAACAAAATGTAGACATTGTAAATTAAGTTAAATGTAGTTTGGCATTTTACATCCATGATCTTCCTTTGTGTGAGTTTCTTTGAGTAAAATGTATTGATATGTTTGATTTGGAAAGTAAACAGAAGCAGTTTTGAGATGCACCTGTCTGTCAGGCCCTGTCAGGAATGAAGCAGTACTAAGGCCACTAAGGAACTAGACATCTTCAACTTCAAGAAGGCAATGTTTTTTAACTTTCCACCGAATTGGTGGATAGCACCGAACAGGTGCTTCTTTCTTTTTGGGGGGGAGGGGCAACACCAGTGGAGCACTTAGTTTCAGTCCTTGCACATATGCAGGACTCATACTTCCAGGCTGGATAAATATTATCTATAGCCAAGGTCTTTGGGAATATCCAGGACTTTGGAGTTTCTTTGAACATACCATCAAAAAACTACTGTTCAGTTCAACAATATATAATATATTATAAAAAACAAGTGCCAGCTCTGGATATATATACTTTCTTTTCTTGAGTTGCATTGCAACCACTCACACTTCTCAGAGTCAAATTTGGAAAGGGCTAAGTTCAGTCAGGAAAGAGTGCATGACTCTGGACTAAGGCTCACACTAAGGCATGCTAAGGTCATCGCCCACAAAACCAGTTGTCAAGTTGAACACGGACTAGGTGTCAACCACTGTCATGTTTTTTTGAAATGTTTGGGTATTGATTTTCACTCCATCAACCCATTGCAACTCATGCCATTTCCTTCCAAGCCTACCCCATCTATTATTTCTATCTTCAAGATTTCCTGGCCACACCTCAGCACCACACACTCCTTTCTCAATCACCAGTCACACGTTGCCTCATTGCACCCTTGATTCGAGCTTCATTCACACTTTTCTAGTCATCAATTCATTTTGTCCTGTCAATTTGCCAAGCTTCCCATTGATGCTCTCAGTTCATATTTCTTTGTGTATGCAAGCTGAAGATTAGTTATTAATGAGCTCTCCAAACCTTAGTGTTTGTGGCAAAAAACGGATTCAGAATGCATTTGGCTTCAAACATCCACTTCATTCATCTTAAGCCAACTCACGGCCATGCAGGAAATAATGCATATGTGTGGGCTAAGGGTCACACTAAGGCACACTGAGGTAATCACACTTGTGGCAAGCTTAGGAACAACCACGGATTGAATTCAGTCTGGCCCGTTTCATGGTAGCAACCTATTTAACGCCAACCAAACATCACTCACTGCAATACATACACTCCAATCATCCCATTCAGTTGAAGTCCAACCAGTTTTCCAAATAGCATCATTGAGCAACATTCATTGAGCCCCTCAATCGAACTTATGGTAACCCATCCAGCCCTTCCCACCACCATTTGCCCTTCCATCCCAGCAGCAGTTCTCATGCATCTCTGTTCAACCAACCATCCACACATTCACTTCTTCATACAGCCCACCCACACATTTATTCACTCATCCAATCAACCCACAGTTTTTTGTCCAAAAGAGTGCACAGTGTTATTGTCCACACAATTTTCAGAATGTGCTTTGCTTGCTTGTGAGTGAAGTGCTTGTGAGTGCATCACTGTTTAACCATGGGCGGGCTTTCACCTAAGGAAAACCAGGTTCAAGGTCATTGCCAATGTTCAATCTACTGTCAGCAACCTAATGGTCCATCTTTGATCTACTTTAATT